ATGTAGGTTTATGGAGCTTTTAGAGTATCTGTGAAAATGTTACTCATGTTGAATTCCCAAATCCAAGTTGACGGTAGAGGATATGCCGAGGTTGCTACATCTATCCTCGAAATCCGGAATCTTCTTGTTCTTAAGGTGATGGTCAGATGACACCTTAGGGGGTGTTTGTTTATAATTTTTTTCAATTCATTCTTAAATAATATCAACCAATCATTCTTACACATCACATCAACTTTAATTCACAATTCATCCACTCACATTTTAAGTAACCATCACTTCATATCATCTCTCTCGTACTTTTACATCAAATCAACTTTAATTATTTTATTTTAAATATTATTTTAGTTTAAACTCAAAATCCTACTAACAACTAACCATACGACCTTTTTCAAAATTAACTGTAGTTAACCAAAAAAACTCGTTTCGAGCGGATATATTTATATCTAAGCACGCCTTAGTAACTGAATTTATTGTCTGTCCTGAAAGGTTTTTCATTGCCTGACTTGAATTCACTTTACTTTATCCCGTGTGGCAGGACAGCTCTGTGATCAGTTCCAATGCAAACTTGGCTCTATTTGGGCAAGGGCTTTTAGAGCTAACTGGTCAGGGTGATGCAATCAAAGGCCAGAGACTTTCATTGTCATTATTTTATAATATCACTGTAAGATATTTATGTAAGACGCTTAGAATTATTTAATTATTCATTAACTAATGTAAAATGTTGCCCCGACAGAAGGCTCGTTTGGAATTTTTTTAAATTCCACTTTTTTTTGCCAAATCATTATTCGTGCCGAGTATCTTATTTTCTCTGGCAAAACTGTCACTATGTTTCTTATTTTGGAAATCTTTTTCATGTGTTAGGTTGGCCCAGGCTCGTTAATTCAGGCTCCTTTGGATGATGAGGACAGTCGAAGCTTGTTAGCAAATTGACTGACTTCTATTATTATCATGGTATTTTACTGTTTTAATTTTATGAAGTGACGAATCACATTATTTTCCTATTCATCTGATGTAGGGTGACTAAATCGCTTTGTGAGAGTCCAAATTGCCCAATGGATCTGATTACTCCACCTGATGATTGTCATGTTAATTATACACTGTCCTTCTCTATGCAAGTAAGCGAACACTTCTTTCATCGACCCCTTTTGAACAAGTCTTGTTTTGAGTTTCAATGATTATAATCTCAATGCATAGTTCCAATTCGGTGAAAATATTCTTTTAGTGCAAACGTACAGAAGCTAGGGCTATGACATATTTTTAAAGGGAAAGAAGTTTATATAACAGGCTGACAAAAAAAAATTGGCCCATTTTTGTTGCCAATGAAGAAATATTGAAATTATATATAAACTTCAATGACATTTTAGTTTATATTTGTTTTGTATGTGAATGTATCAAATTAATCGTGTTGTTATTATCTTTAGTTTAACATTTTTATTGGCCACATGAAGAAAAAAATATTTGTATCAATAGTTTCTGAAAAAAATATTTAGTCATGCCTCATCATTAGTTTATCGAATGTTCTAATATAATGTTGTAGATTTATGTTTAGCCCGAATATTTTATCTCGACAAAGATCTAGATAAATATCATTTTTATTGAAGGAGATCACGCTCTCAATTTTTTTTTTTTTTAAACATCAAAACACAAACATTCGAAAATATTTTTGAGACATATGTCACATATGGCTTCATTTGAAGATATTTTTTAATATTAACCAGAAAAGATTTTGGATAACAATTATAGAGAACAATTAAATCTAAGTCTTTGCTGTCTGCTGTACATTCTCAGGTTTGTCGTGTGGAGGATATTCTGGTTAACGGAGTTATCAAGGGAAGTATCGTTCATATCCACAGGGCACGAACAGTCATTGTAGACACTGATGGCATGATAACTGCATCAGAACTAGGCATGCGCATAGAAAATCTCTCACTCATGAGTTTTCTTGTATCTTTTGCATTCTCACGAAAGAAAATGTTTTTCTAGGTTGCAAAACTGGTTTTGGTAAGGGAAATTACTCGCATGGAGCTGGTGCCGGTGCCGGACATGGAGGAAGAGGAGGATCGGGATTTTACAATGGGATTATGAGTGAAGGTGGTAAAAAATACGGGAGTGCTGATCTCCCTTGTGAGTTGGGTAGTGGCACTGAAGGTCCTAATCCATCTGATGATGGATATGTGGCTGGTGGTGGAATTATAGGTTCGACATTTTTATCTAACTACCTTATTCTCGCTTGTTATTATCTGACCTATGCATTTTTCATCATTTTTGTTCTTGGACCAAAGACTATCATTTTATGCTTGCTCGCTTGTTGGAATTAAAAGGGGTGTATTCATTTGAGGTTTTTAAAGACTTTTTAAGACTTAAGAAATTCTGGTATATTTAATTTAGACTTTTTAAGAATTTTTAAGACTTTCAAAACTTTTGGGCTATTCATTTGGGATTTAAAAAAGTCTTACAAAATCATGAGGTATTTAACTTATTTGAGATTAGGATTTGTTAAGAATTTTTAAGATTTGCTAGGATTTCTAAAGCAAAAATCTTACACGAAATCCCACTCAAAATCCCACCTTGAGACTTCAGAATTAAGATTTCACATGATTCCTCCAAAATCTGAAAATCTAAAAAAGTCTCAAAATGTCACTCGAAATCTCAAACGAATTCGTTAACCTATTTGTATTGGGATGGATGAATTATTATGCACACTTGCCTTAATTTTTCTGAAGTATTCATTCATGAATTCTGAGCTTTGGGATATACTAAAAAAGTTATCTTCTTCCAAGTACTTAAAAAGAATTTGTATTTGACTTGTGAAGCTTTTTACACTGTAGTGATTGGATCCAAGCTCTGGCCACTTCTAAGGCTGGATAATTATGGATTGATCAGCGCTGATGGTGAAAGTTATTATCGGAAGCCAACTCGTAATAGGAATAGTAGTCTCATAGGTGGACTTGGTGGAGGTTCGGGAGGAACTATCCTTCTCTTTCTTCAATCCCTTGCACTTGCCGAGAACTCATCTATATCTGTTGTTGGAGGTATCGGTGGGTCTTTCGGGGGTGGGGGTGGTGGGGGTGGAAGAATTCATTTTCATTGGTCGAAGATTGCTGCTGGTGAGGANATAATAGTAATAAGACAAAAATGCATTTTTAGTCGTGTTGGTTTAACGTCATAGCAATTTTAATCCCAAGATTCCAACTTTTCGCCTTTTGGTCCTGTGATTTAATAATATTTTGCTGCAATTTTATATTACAGTCCTGAAAACAAAATTTTAAATTACAGCACTGAAATTGCTAATCGAAAATCTGGGAATTTGATGCAATTTTAGAACCTTGTGAATTAAATTGCTATGGCGTTTAACCAGCAAAACTAAAAATCCAATTTTTCCTAATAATAATATTCAAATCATACAGGCAGATTTGTGTATTTAGTTAAATAAAATATTAACTTTCGAAACTTTTGTTGGGATTTTATTGGGTTTGTTTGTTTGAGTTTACTTTCTTCAGTATTCCTTTTCTCTCTTGATAATTATTATTATTTTTTTTGTATTAACAGTGGAGGCACCGGTGGTGGAGATGGTCTTCGTGGAGAGAAAGGCACGATTACTGGAAAACAGTGCCCCAAAGGCCTGTATGGTACATTTTGTACAGTATGTTTCTGAATTCTCCCATCTTGTAGCATTTATGTTTGTTTCATTATATGATATATCCAATGAAAAGGAAATTATACAATACGACAAGATAGACAATATAGAACAGAAAAGCAATGCCATAAGTTATCATCCTTTTTTTTTTTTTTCATTTTGAGTCTTTGTCATGCTCTAATTGAAGGATACATATTAGCAGGGAGATTGTGTGTGCGTGTGTGGTCTTTTAATACTTTTGAGTTTTGAGTTTCTGTTTTTTTCTTGGATTACGCATGTTGGCATAAGCCGTTTTCCTGTCCCTTCTGATAGGTAAACCTTATTTGCAATTGTTATAATTTTCATCTATATATAATATAATATAACCAAGACATAGTCACAATTAATAATTAAGAATAAATGTATAATGCATTTTACTTTAATTGCCTTCCGTAGGCATCTCTACTTTCTTTCGAGTGACCGAGTCTGTCTATAGCATCACATTTTACATGTGAAAATTGCTGCATTCATGCTTTTTACCAGGATATTGATTCTTAAGTGAATCTCATATGACTTACACATGCCCAATTGTCAGCTTCTTGTTGGGTTTAGTTAAAGCCTTTTTATTAATCAAATAAATTCTATTGGAAGTAAATCATGTTTTCTATCTGTGGCCTGTATTATAGGAATGCCCTGTCAGTACATATAAAGATGCTGAAGGATCTGATCCTAATCTTTGCAAACCTTGTTCACTCGATCGACTTCCTACTCGTGCTCAGTTTGTCTATGTTCGAGGTATCTGATTGATATGGTCGAGTATTATTTAATATGTAATTATAAATTGCACCTACCATATTTATTTATTTATTTATTTTTTTTGCAGGTGGAGTCACACATTCTTCTTGCCCTTATAAATGTATATCCGACAAATACCGAATGCCTAAATGCTATACGCCTTTTGAGGAGCTGATATATACGTTCGGTGGCCCATGGCCTTTTGTCTTTCTATTATTATGTGTCGACTTGATTTTAGCAGTAGCTCTGAGTACAGTGAGAATTAAAATAATCGGCTCCGGATGCTCTTACAATAGGGCCGATTCAATCGATCATCATAATAGTGATCAACGCTTTCCTCATCTTCTTTCCTTATCTGAGGTGAGTGTTGACCAGGTTTGACTACAATTATAGCTCGGCAATATTAGAGCTAAATTTTGCTTTCTATATATATTTATTTATCCAGGTTCGAGGCGTAAAAGCAGAAGAAACTCAGAGTCATGTTTATAGGATGTATTTTATGGGTCCTAATACATTCAGAGAACCTTGGCATCTCCCTTACTCACCTCCTTCTGCAATACTAGAGATCGTGTAAGAATACTATATCAATCGATGAGTATAAATATACATATATATACAATATTGGGTCGGATTTTACGTACAGAACTTCATATGTTATCCCTCAATATGATTCCCTGCTCGTTTTTTCCTAAAAGTTACCATTCTCAAAACTCTTGAGTTCTCATAATTCTATTCCAGCATTTGAGATTTTAAAATATAGGTTGTGTTCGGTAAGCATATAAGGTGGCTTATGGCTTATTTGATTAGCTTATAAGCTTCATGTATTCAAATAAGTTTGGTTTGGTAGGACGGATTTTTTAAAAAAGCTCGAGCTTATCTCATAAGCTTCCTTGAAATTTTATCAAAACACTTTTATCATATAAGTTAACCTTTCAGGCATAAGTCATAAGCTATCAGCTATAAGCTCAAAATTCACTTAAAATCTATGCTAGCTTATCAACTAGGTTTACCAAACATAACCATTGTCTGTTACATTTAGTTGGTTTAGAATGAGGGTTTATTCCTCGGTAACTACTTTCACAATTAGAAAAACAATTTTTTACCTATAAACAATTTTTGAAAACTGCAGGTATGAAGATGCTTTTAACCGGTTCATTGATGAAATAAACTCTGTTGCGGCATATGAATGGTGGGAAGGATCTGTACATAGCATACTTTCGGTCCTGGCATATCCTTGTGCCTGGTCATGGAAGCAATGGCGAAGGAGAAAAAAAGTACATCGGCTTCAAGAGTTTGTCAAATCTGAATATGACCATTCTTGCCTTCGTTCTTGTCGATCACGAGCTCTTTACAAAGGAATAAAGGTTAGAAGTATATATATTGATTTTATTTCCATCGGGAAAAAATCTGGAAAAAAAAAATCTGTGTGATTTTTGTTTTGCAGGTTGGGGCAACACCTGATTTGATGGTTTCGTACATTGATTTTTTCCTTGGCGGTGATGAGAAGCGTGTAGATATGGTGGCCAGTATACAGAAGAGATTTCCCATGCGAATCGTTTTCGGTGGAGATGGAAGTTACATGTCTCCTTATAACTTGTACAGTGACACATTATTATCGAATCTCATTGCACAGGTACACGGCTATCTATTTTGGATTGTATTTGGCTGTGTTTGGTAAGCATATAAGCTAACTTATAGCTTATTTGATTAGCTTATAAGCTTCCTGTATTCAAATAAGCTTGGTTTGGTTTGGTAGGACTCTAACTTTTTTTAAAAAAAGTTAGAGCTCATCTCATAAGCTTCCTTGGGTAGCTTTTCAAATAAGCTCATTGAACAACTAGCTTATCAGCTAATTTAATCAAACACTTTTATCATATAAGCTAGCTTTTCAGCCATAAGTTATAAGCTAACTATAAGCTCGAAATTCACTTAAAAGCTATGAGCTAACTTATGAGCTAGATTTACCAAACATAACCTTGCCAAGGAAAATAACAAAAAAAATTTGCTATTCAGTACAATAAAACAATCTTTACCTTTCTAATCCATACAAGTTTTTATTGTTCTTTTATAGCATGTACCTGCAACAGTTTGGAATCGTTTAGTGGCTGGTTTAAATGCCCAGCTGAGAACAGTTAGGCATTGTTGTATACGTAAAGCCCTTTGTCCTGTTATCAATTGGCTTGCTACTCATGCGAACCCACAACTCGATTTTCATGGGGTTAAAATCGAGCTCGGCTGGTTTCAAGCTACATCGAGTGGTTATTACCAACTGGGTATTTTAGTGATTGCTGGAGGTTCTACTCTTCATGATCTTCATCACTCCGAATATTGGGATAACAGTGATATATCATCCAGGTAGAAATAGAGAGAAAACAACCCGAAATAACCAGAATTGTCGTCAATTAAGTTTTCAATTTTTTCTTTTTTTGTTTCCATTTTTCTTTATCTCACTGAGATTTGTGAAATAGCCAACATCTCATCACTCATTTACTTGCAAATCCTCAGGAATCATATACTATCCCGTAAAAAGATTACAAGGGGCTTCAATGGTGGTATTGTAAACGAGACTACATTAAAATCACTACACTGTAAAAGGGACTTTCTTTTCCCATTTTCTCTTTTGTTGCTCAACACCCGTCCAGTTGGCAGACAGGTACGTAATACATAATACATAATACGTAATATTCTGTGGTGATTATAAACGAGACTACATTAAGGCAATGTTTGGCTGTTTTGACGTGTGATTATCTTATCCTGTGTTTTTTTTCAGGATACTATACAGCTGTTGATTACTATCATGCTCGTGGCCGATCTTTTTGTCACTCTTCTTATGCTTTTTATGTTTTATTGGATATCTCTTGGAGCTTTTCTTGCTGTACTCCTTATCCTCCCTCTATCCTTGCTGTCACCTTCTCTAGCAGGCTTGAATGCCTTGTTTACGACTGGTCCTAGAAGTGCCCCACTTTTTCGAGTTTACGCCTTGTGGAATGCTAGCTCGATTTCAAACCTTGTAAGTGATTGATTATATGCATTCAATGTATGTACTTCAGAAAAATTTGAAGATTGAGGTAAAACAGAAGAGTATAAATGGAATGGACAAAAGGGAAAGGAAGACATGAATCTAGTGAAAATATGCTTCACTCTTCTAAAGGAATTAACTTTAATTTGCTACACATATATTCAGGTGGTTGCATTTATCTGTGGCTTGATCCATTATGTGATTTCATCTGTGAATTCCCCAGAAGAGGCAAAGATATGGCATTCAAGGTCAGTAGTTTGAGTGACAACCTTATTTTGCATATTTTCGAATTAACAATGTTCACATCAGTTTCAAATTCATTTATCTCAGGCAAAAAATGCATTTTCAGTGCTATTGGTTTAACGTCATAGCAATTTTAATCCTAAGATTCAAATTTTTCGCCTTTTGGTCATGTGATTTAATATTTTGCTGCAATCGCAGTCCTCAACAAAAATTTAAATTTAAATTACAGCACTGAAATTGCAACAAATTTTAAATGACAGCATTGGAATTGCAACAAAATTCTAAATTACAAGACTTAAATTGCAAATCGAAAATCTAAGAATTTGGGAATTTGTTGCAGTTTTAGTCCTCAAAGGACTGAAATTACAGCAAAATATCAAATCACATAACTAAAAAGCGAAATGTAAGAACCTTGAGACTAAAATTGCTATGGCATTAATCAACAGGAATAAAAATGCAATTTTGCATTATGGAATTAACTATGTTCATATCAGTTTCAAATTCATTTATCTTACCAATTCAGACATGTTCATTTGTAACGATTGATAAAATCATAACGTTATAGCCCATGAATTCGAATTTGTGATTCCAGGGAAGATGACAAATGGTGGCTTTTGCCAACAATTCTGCTTCTATTCAAGGCGGCTCAAGCTCGACTAGTCGATTGGAACATTGCAAATTTAGAAGTCAAAGACTTCTCTCTTTTCAGTCCTGATCCTGATACTTTTTGGGCATATGAGCCTCTCTCTTAACAATATAAACCATCTTTCCTTATGCTGTTGATGGATAAACCTTTTATTTTTTTTCATTGAGCAGCAAAACAGACATCTCATTGTACATATATATGATGTAAATATGCATATTTCTGCCGAAAAACACGAATGTTCGTGTACATATTTTGATGGCGTGAGGTCGATTTACGATGATAGTCGAGTGAGATATTTGGAAAACTATTTAGGAAGAAAGGGTGTACAGATTATTTTATGACATTATGTGATGCAGGTGTTTTTTTTTTTTCTATTTATTTATTTATTTATTTTGTATTTGTGTGTATCAATGAAGACCTTACTACTTTTTGTGCTGGTAAATGTTGTTGAATATTGTTATTCCATTCTAATTAATATCAATTATTTCTCTCTATATACAAATTACAAAGATAGGAGAGTTTTTTTGACTTTATATAATCAAATTTGGTGCTTGGGCAATCTCATGTGAATTAGTGGTGATTCGAAATCCTATTATCTGGTGTATAATTATTAATGTAGTTCAATTTTTCTTTTTCTTTTTTTTTATCTTTTAAATTATAAAACACTTCTCTAATTTAAACTGTAAATGTATATATTTTTATCTTTTAATTTATAAAACACTTGTTTAATTTAAATTATAAATATGTTTTATACTTTATAACGTTGTATGTATTATAAGTTTTTTCTTCATGATGTATCAAATCAAATCAGTCAGATTTCATGAATTTATAGAATAAAAAGAGATTGTGCATACTTTTATAAATAAATTTTAGTGTTCTACCAATCATAGTTGGAAAATAATCAATTTAGTATTTATATATCAACTAAATATAAATATATTTATAGTAATTATTATAGTACATAAGTTAGAAAAATTATTAGGATGAAGAAATTTTACATAATGCCATTTTAAACAAAAACGATAAAGTGAGTTCTTAATAAGTAATTGAAAGCTAAAATATAAAACATTTATTTTGATTTCTTTATTTTTCTTTAAATACATTTTTATCACGTAACACTGCTGCCCTTAGTTGCACATATGGTTTATTACTAATTAGAGAAATGTTTGGAAAAATTATAGATATAAGTTATTAATTAAGTTATAATAGTTTTAGTCTTCAACGTAAAATGTTGTGAGTTGATCTAAATTAATTTCGTCTTCAACTTAAAAATATCACATTCCATGTACCTTTCTAGTTTGTAGTCACTAAATATTGTCTTTTGGCCACTAAATAATGTGTAATTAATTACAAAATTGATACCAAATTATTTCAAAACAAATATAATAGAAAACAAATATTAATATGTAAGGAATTAACTGAACTCCACAGCATAGGTGGCCAAGTGAACTCATCTTAATTCTAAGTTAATTTAATCAGAATATTTACAAATTCGAATATTTTATTTGAATTAATTTACAAAGATATAAAAATACTATACGTGCAAAAATCCTCGAAAGTACACCAAAATCACAACCTATACGAGCCCTCAAAAGCAAAANAAAACACTACACAAAAATGCAATAAAAATAAAAGAGGCAATTGCTAACTAACGGCGTTGAGCAGAAGGCGGAGAGGCGAAAGGGAGGCTCTGCCGTATGAGAAAACGCACGCGCCGCGGGAACGGGAGAGGCGCGTCGTCCAGCACGTGCTCCACCACACGCGCCACCACCGCTGTGTATTCCTCCAGCAGCCCCGCCAACGTCGCCACCAGTATCATAATTGCTCGCTCGATCGGAAAATTTAGGGGAATTATAGGGTACGACGCTCAATTGTCCAAGTCCATATATATGTAATTTTTTGAGTGTAATTAATTAAGGGGAAAAAGGAGGAGAAGAAACCAGAAGCAAAAACTGGGTGCAACCTATCGGAAAAATCAAATATTATTTTGCATCGTAATTATTAATTAAATGACAAAAATATAATCCAACGGCGGAATATGGGCTGAGGTGACGGAGCAGTAGCCCAACTGCCCAAGAGTCAATACCATGGGCTGACATTGGGCTTCCACGCGTCCCTGTATATATAATACTTAAATATATTTCGATCTTTTCTCCTTTATTAATCACTCTCTTTTTTGGCCTTTAGTTGTCCACTTGTGTTGTGGCCTAAAAGATTTTTTCATTATTTTAGTACTATTTTGGTGGGTCGGCCTTATCCATTGAATCTAATCCTTTATTTATTCATCTTTAAACGATAGAATTTTATAAAAACGAAAACCACGTGATTACAGCTAGCAACAGCTAGAATAGCCAAGCAGCTAACCAACTGAATCTAGGAGGTCTACCCGGAGATAGCCTAAGAGCAACTACACTAACACACCCACAGCACAACACAACAAACTATACAGCTCCCAACAGGAGAATACACAGCTCCCAACAGGAGAATAAACAGACTCCCAACGGGAGAAAAAACAACACAACTAACAAACCACACAACTCCAACAAGGGAGAAAACACAGAAAACAACAAGAAACACACAAAACACAACTAAGTTACACAAAACAGTAACAATATCCTTTCCCAGTAGACATGCCAAGCCCAACACAAAGCTCCAGCAGAATCCAGGTCGACCACCGAACAGACTAGCCCGAAATCCAAGAACCGGCTCCCGAAACTGCCTAACGCCTAGCTGAAGCCGACACCATAGACCCCGACCCACTCCAGGAAGACGAAACCCGACCCGCAGCCCGAGGGGCAGCAACCCGCACCCACACACACCAACACCGACCCTGACCTGGCCAACACCACTGGCCTAAGTCCGGCCGCGCCGGCCTCCCGTCCACCCCACACCAGGGAGCACAGGAACAGGGAACAGAAAAAGCCACGCCTCAGCCCTTCCGAACCGCCATGGAAAATCCGAGCAGTTAGGGCCACACCCAAACCCCAATCCCACACCACCACCCGACACCACCTCGAAACCAATAAGGACAACGAACCGCAACCTAGATCGGCAACCAGAGACCAGCGACACCTGACCTTCGAGCATTCATCATCCGCCACTGGCACAAGCTGAGAGGGGCCGTGCGAAATTAAGGCATAGGAAGTGCGGCTACGGGCCATCCGCCGGCAAAGGCCCGGCTGCCTACCAGGGAAGACGCCGATGGAAATTAATCGGTGACTGGAGGAAGGGTTTTTGGCAATTTGGGGATATTTCTTCGAAGAGAGAGAAAAAACATGTAGTGAAGGTCAAAAACACAATGTCTTCAACATCAAGGTATGGAGATTATGAATTTATCATGATATATCCTCATTGTATAACTCATTGTACATGTAGCACTACTCTTTGAACTAATCTTTTAGTAGTGTTGTAATTGGTACCTTGTAAGTTGTAACAAAAATTTTTAGGTACGTGTAATTTGATTAATAAAACTCTACTGCAAAATAAGAAGAATAATTTTTTTGAAAAGAAAATATAACTAACTGGATTGTAATATAATTAGAACTAGTACAACACCTGTGTACTGCACGAGTATTGAATTAAGAAATGTTTACATCAAAATATTTAAAGATAAACGTAACAATTTTATTTTAATTTTTTGAAACTTTTAAAATTGCATTATTAGTTTTAAAATGACGCTAGAGTATTATACATGAACTCAATAATTTTTAATCACATTATTTTTCAAAGTTTAAGAAAACAGTTTTAGTAGCATTTGCAATTATCAAAACAAATTATATAAAAAATAAGATATTATATATGTTAGTTACCTAAATAATGTATTAATTGATAGCACAATATGCAATAATCAACGTGTTAATGTTAAAGATCACACAACAATTCTTGCTAACAGAATAAACAAATTGGCATGTATGTTTATAGGCAAACACAATGTTTTAAATAGCGTACCGTACCGACTGGTATTGACGGTAATACCGGCCGGTACAGTAACCCTCTAAATGTCATTTTGGCAAAAGTATCGTGTTATACCGGTTTCATACCAAAAAATACCGGCCAAAATAGATGATATACCGAATTTAAAAAATAGATATTCTTATATATATATTTATCATTTTATTTACAAAATTTGCACTTAGTCTTAACATGTTTACATTATTATTAGTTTTTAATCAATTCTAGTGTCTATAAATAAACCAACTATCGTACATGTAGATAATGCTAATTGTTTGTAACCAATGCCATAACATAATTGTCATATTATTCTTAACAGTGATTTGTGCAAATAAGTAATTTATTTTTTATTTTAGTTATCTATGTTTTGCTACATTTATATGTCTCCTAACTTTAACTTTAAATTCAATAATTACGTGTAGACTACCTACTTCAATTTACCTCTGTGTAGATATTTTATGTTATTTTTTTTAATTCCAATGCATGAGAATAAATTAATAAATAAGTCTGCTACGAAAGTAAATTCAGTTGTACAAACAATGAAAAGATATGATGGATGAATCCTTAGTAAATTGAAATAAGGAAAGAAGGATTTGTGTGATCTTTAAATTAAAAAAAAAAATTAGTAATGAGAGAGATTGATGAGAGACAATAATATATGATGGAAAAACTATTTATGACACTTTTCAAGCCAACTTTGTTTCCAAATTTTTTATCCGAATCTAATTACAAAGCAAGATATGTGACATGTAGGATTACAAAGTGTGCGAGTCTACCACTTAGACTCAGCACGTTTTGAATCAATACATAGGAAGGATTTCTCTGATTTGAGAAATTAAATGAAATAACGAGATTGATCATTGGATATATTTTATTGGAAAAAAAAATAGTTCAATAATTAATAGAAAAATATTCCAGAATTATGTGATATTTTAATACGATAATTATTTTAATCAAAGTGGTAGCAAATGCGGGGATAGCTCAGTTGGGAGAGCGTCAGACTGAAGATCTGAAGGTCGCGTGTTCGATCCACGCTCACCGCATTTTCCTTTTTGTTCTTTTATGGTTTTTTGGTTCGTTATGTGCCTGGCAGAACACATGGAAGAACATTTAAAAGGGGAAAATGTTGAGATGCAGTTTTGTGTTAAAAGTAAAGTAAAATCCATAAAGGTGAAATATTCAAGCATAAATGTCATACCATGAAAAATAATATAAACAAAATGTAACATACAAAATATGCATTTTTGTTAAAATATGTATGATGAATCGACCCACTTACCCCTCTCTCTCTCAAGAACTTGTGTGACCAAGAAAATAAGCACTTACAGAGAACAAACAATACAACTCATACAATTAACAATCTTTCATTCAACTACAGTTAAAAGTCATAACAAGTTAAAGAGTAAAAAATCTGGTCAGTTNCTGGTCCTGCTGCTACAATCAAATGTAATAATAAATACAAGAAGAACCTAGATAGAACAAAAATACAAACAAACAAAGACATTTCATTTCCAATCTCGGCTGGTTGAATACAAATAAGAAGACTATGTATTGTCAGAGTCCAAGTAATGAACATTGCTTTCTTGCATGCTCGGGGATCAGCTTGCCCAGCAACTCGACCGGCACACCTTTTAGCTCTGATCACACAAAACAGTTAAAAAGAAATTCAATACAACGGTATTTAGTATTTACACCACACTAGATAAGCAAAGCACAAAAGAAGCATCTTCTTATGAGGAATAATACTCACCATGTGGTTTGAAATTGAATAGAGGTGGAACAAATCGCCCGTTTGGTAGCCGAACATTCGGGTCACGCAACTCGTCAAAGAAAGGGTGGATCATTGCCTCCAGCTGCATCGCAATAATATTAAGCAACTCAATCATTAACCATGAAAAAAAGTGCAGACTTTTTTTTTTTTTTTTCCAAATCTTGGTACACTTACCGCAGTGCAACGCAGATTTGGAGAGTACTGAAGTAGCCTTGAAACGAGATCAACAGCCTCTGCTGGCGTGCGCTTGTGGAATATCTGAAGAACATATAAAAATTGCATCACAAATTCACGATCGAGGGATATATTATAACAGAGAAGATCATCATGTGTTCGGCAGGACGAGTAGTTATTGTTGCAATATACCTTATGCCATGGATGAGCTTTTATTTGGGGGAACTTGAACTCGGTGTAATTAGGGTTCATACATTTGATCTCCTCTCTTGTTGGTGTGCCCAGAACCTACATGCAAACAAATATGTGTAGAGTAACCATCTTTTCGCATAAACAGTACAGTATATAAAAGGCTGAAAGAATATATCAATTAGCTCGGGCTGGACTGTTTCGTAATTACCTTAATTATCTCGACAAGCTGGTCGACTCCACTCTCACCTGGAAAGAGGGGCTGAAAATTTTCCATATAATTTATTTTAGCAAACACAATTAAGAAAGAAGATTGGTTTACTTTTAAGGACTAAAGAAGAAAACGACAATAGAAATTACCAACCTGTCCAAGCAATAGTTCAGCAAGAACACATCCAACCGACCAGATATCAATGGCAGTAGTGTACTCTGTAGCACCAAATATCAGTTCAGGAGCACGATAGTACCTTGAACATATATACGAAATGTTTGGTTCTCCTTTCACCTACAAAATTGAGAGCAATAAGAAGAAAGTTCTAGAAATGGCAAGCACAATTCACGATCACATGGAGAAGAATGAAAAAACCAACCAACACTTTAGCGCTCCCAAAATCACATAGTTTGACTTGGTGAGTATGTGGATTAACCTGTAGACAACAAGCAATCAATCAGTGGAATCCTTAATTCCCTTTGCCACCATAAACACAAAGAATGTAATTATAACATAACACACTTACCAATAGGTTTTGTGGTTTGATGTCCCTGTGGCATACGCCAATACTACCATGGATATATGCTAGAGCTCGAAAAATCTGCCACAGAAGAAAAATTTATGTTATTTTTTTTTCAAAAAAAAAAAAAACTAGGCTAGTAAGCGAACAAATTAACTAATTCAAATAAATGTTACTGAGATTATTTCAGTGAAAACCAGGTTCTACCTGATAAGCATAAAGTTTCACATATATTATTGGCATCCTCTGGTTCATTTTGTTATAATGTCTAATCACCCGATGAACAGTCTCCGGAACATACTCCAACACCAAGTTAAGGAAAAGCTCGTCCTTTTCAGTCGTCGAGAAGAAACAATGCTTTAAAGACACAACATTTGGGTGGTCTAGTAAGCGCATGGTTTGCAGCTCACGGTTTTTGTACCTCTTATCCTGAAGAACCTTTTTGATAGCAACAGTTTCACCGGTTTCTAGACATTTTGCCTGCACCAAATCATTAAAGGCTATTTAACAATGCAAAAGCCATGAATCCACGTATTATAATCCTTTTTATTTCATTGTACACACCGATANAAAACTACCTGAAACACTACACCAAAGGAACCCTGCCCCACAACACGCTCGGCCATGTAGCTGATTGTCTGATAAGAAGGAATAAAACATATTAACACACTTGATAAAAACTTTTGAGAAGTTCAAAATAGTTCAATATATACTTAAATTCACCTGTTTTGGCTGGCCATTTTTTCCACCAATTGTTGTCACGATTATATGACCAGTTTCTGTTCCATTACCATCTACGACAGCTGGTTCCATATCCTATGAGGCATGATGAAATTTAATCAAGTCACTATAGCAATAAACAGTACTAGTACTAGATAACTCTGTTCAAATGAAATGGAAAGATGAAGAAAAGCTTATACCTTCTCATCCTTGAGCTTCATCTCACTCATCTCATCTGGAAGCCTATCCAAACCACCATTTTTCCGACCAGGATCTCTTAGACCTGATGGAGGAGCTACATGTACCGAGGTCATTCTTTTCTTATTGTCAAGACTCAAGTGTGTTTCAGCTTTACACCAGCCCGGTTAATCTTTCTGCATAACTTAAAAGGGACGTTGAGAAAGCCAGTTCACGAAACCACAAACTACGGTAATAAATCAATTAAGATGCGTCATCAGAACAACTAAATCTTGGTCCTTGTTTAGAAAACATCAAAATAAATTTAACACCAATGTACTTCTGTATATTCTTAGGTGCGGGCAATCCCAGAAAGACCTCCAAGTTTTTTTTTTTTTTTTCCTTACATCAAAGCGGTTGAACTAGTGGTTTGCAAACATAATCAATTCAAGATACCACTGAGGATATTTTCAGCGACTAAATTGAGCTATAAGATTTTTCCAGCCTCACAAAACCCCATAACAAGGTTTTCTCAATTAGCTACTAAAGATATGGATAAACTAAACTAAAAGCAGAATTCGAAATGGACACAAACTAACACGATAGTAAACAGCAAGATCTGGGAATCAACAAAAAGGATCAGCTACTTCACACAAGGTTCTATAAAGTTGCTACTGAAAGATTCTAAACAAAAACTAATCGAACACTGAAAATATAAAGGAAGCCAAACTATAACATATTATTGAATTTGAACAGCGAGATTTGGGACTCAACACAAAGGATCATCTAGCTCAAATAGACTATATGAAAAGCCCATCAAGAAAGAACTTCCAGAAAGTAAATCTAACCACGTAAATATCATCCCAGATGCAAAAATCGATATAAACCTCTACAACAAATTAAGTTATCAAGAAAAAGAAAAGAAAGAGAATAAGCACCATATCTGAAAAAATCCAGCTAAAAAACAACCAAATACTCCGAACGAACACCAGATAAAAAAAAAATATCGAAATTTCAAATGACACAAATAAGAAAGGGGGAAGAAAGTTGAGAGCCCACAAGTCAAAATTGACCTCGACAAACACTTCACAAAAGGATCCAAGCTTTGAGCTTTGCAATCGTACCCGATAAATCAATCAACAATCTCCTCCGGCGAACTTCTTTTACGGGCAATTCAATTAGAATGCGAGCAAGTTTACTGCTTTTTCTCTCTCTATTCTTCCCCTTATCCTTATGTTGCTTTGGTTGGGTAGTGGTGGAAAAAAGTGGGTATTACTATTTGATGAGAGCTGGTCAACAGGACAAAGACTCCGCCTCCCAAAAGCATAGAAATAATTGCAGCGTATATTTAAATAGTAAACATGAATTGAAATTGCTTCCTTTTACTACAGGCTGGTACTGCTACTTTTCTTTCTTTTACTTTTGACCGTTCAAAACCCTTTTGCTTTTTTCAAAATTTTCTTGTCTGTCCTCATCTAATCCACCATTTACTATTATTTTAAGATTTAATTAATTTTTGCCTTGTCTTGTCCCCATTTGGAAAATGGGCTGGCTGGGTCAAAGAGAATCATAGCTCACGGCGCCGTATGGGCCAGGTGGTGAAATCATCATTTATTCGTCTATTTACTTTGATGTAAACTTACGACATGATTGGTTACCAATTAATTTATTTACATTTATTTCATATTCAAAATATAATTCAACTTTAATTTAATTTTATTATTTGTGATATTATTTATATAATTAAATAATATAAACAATTATTCTTATATATTACATCAACTTTAATTCACTATTCATCCACTTACATAATTTTAAATACCTATTATTTTTAATCATTTATCTCATATTTTTACATCAAATTAATTTTAATCATTGTATTTTAAATATTATTTTAATACATTCTTAAAATTTCACTAACAACTAACCATACTACATATTTTAAAATTAACTACGGTTAACCAAAATAATTCATTTTGAATAAATTATTTCATAAACAATCAAGTTCTTATCGTTGTATCCACTATCGAGTTGAATTCGTATACAAAATTTTTTACTCAAAGTGGATTTTTTTTGTTAACTAGAATTAATTTAAAAAAATATGGTATGGTTAATTGTTAGTGGGATTTTAGATCTATATTAAAATAATATTTAAAATAAAATAATTAAAGTTAGTTTGATGTAAAAGTATGAGATAAATGATATGAAGTGATGGTCAGTTAAAATTATGTGAGTAAATTAATAGTGAATTAAAGTAAATGTGATGTGTAAGAATGATTGGATGGTATTATTTAAGTATATGAAGATATTAAAGTTGAGTTAGATTTTGAGTTAAATGAAACTTTGAGTGAAAATTTTTGTATACAAACATGCTGGCATTTTGAGTTTGTATTTTATTATGAAAGAACATTGTTCATATTCATTCATAAAATTGTATTTGAATTTGTTCCTCTGATTGTTCATTACCGAATTCATTCTTATTTGAATAATTTAGTAACCGAAATTTTCAAAAATTATTTGAATGATTCGAGATCTTGTGTAAACTCATTCGAACTCGAAAATTCAATTAGCCTAATTATCTTATCAAACCCGGTTTGTTAAAGAACAAACTCTTGCCAACACAAAGTGACTCAAACAAACTTGTATTCGCGAATGTTTTAACAACCCAATTACAAAGTAGTGACATTATTAAATTGTTCTTCAATCACAATCACAATGAATCACCTTGCTCCAATGCCCATTCAGAATTTTTAATCATTAAATTAACATGCTAAGTGTGAATTCCAAAGGTGAAAAACCCAGTATGAATGCTAGGGTAGAATGTTCTGATATTAAGATATATTTGGTAAAACTAACATATACACCAGTTAATAGATATAGATAATTATTTATGGTTGAAAAATTAATTTATATGATAAAAGTATACGGTATAATTAGTTCGAACTTATTTAAAAAGTTATCCAATAAGCTTATTAGATAAGTTCAAGCTTTTTAAAAAAGTTGTCCAACTAAATTAAATTTATTTGTATACAGAAAACTTATAAGCAAACCAAATAAACTATAAATTGGCTTATGGTGCTTATCAAATACATCTTAATCGAAAATGTTATTTTTAACCCGTGATACTATAGAAACATAATTGAAAAACATAGGGCATTAATTTGGTGGAATATGAGATGAAAAAACATGTTAGTATTAGAATAACTATATCAATTCAAAATAGTGTCAATCTTCAAGTGGTGCAACGTTGTATGGAAGTTGTAAGGATATGGCTCACCCTAATGAAGAGATCCATCTTTGAAAATTGAAAACCAACATACTATGAATTACTCCTTCCTATTTTTAATAAATGTCGTTTTGAGAAGTTGTACAGTAACTAAGAATCATTTTTTTTGCCAATAATAACTCTCATTAATGAGGATAAAGATGGATGTTTTGAGAAAAGATGAAGAGTGAATATGAAAAGACGTAATGTATTTATTAGATGGATGAGGGTAATAATGAAAAAATATGTCTAAAAGATCCAAAACGACATTTATTTAGTAAATTGTTAACAAAGCCAAAATGATAGTTAAAAAAAATATGAGGAAGTACATGTTTTGATAAGAATGAGAAAGCCAATATGGGTCAAAGGTAGACATCAATTAATAAAGATAAAGGCCAACTACTCTTTTAAGACATGATTTGGAGGGTGATCTATCTACCTGCCCAACAGTTGTCAAGGACTTACATTAATAATGCTCTTGTCTAACTACTTCACAGATTTTTGGAATTTTTCATGTGTAAAGAATTATTATGAACTACTTCACAGATATTTGGAATTTTTCATGTGTAAAGAATTATTATGACTTGGAAAAAAAAAGAATTACTATGACCAAAAGATCTGACTGGGCGAAATGACTGTAAACCAAATAAGTCGATAAACAAACTCGAGCTCGACTTGTTTACATAAAAGTTCATATTTTTGAGCTTTACTAGCAGAGGTTGGAGAGTGAACTAATTGATCTCCAAACAAGCTCGAACTTGAAGCGTTAACAAAATGATTTTTAACTTAACCAAGTTTTAAGCGACTTAGTTCCCTTTATTACTTTTCTTTGCAATGATGTTATCAAATTTGCACTAGGTGTTCCACATTTATTTACATGATATAAATATAGTTATTGATTTTCACAAACAGATATACATCTGTAAACTGGGAATGTATAAGGTTTTTTATGTTGATGCAAGAATTTCCCCAGACTTTGATTGATGGTTACACCGTAGCAATCCCCTACCAAGTTGGACAATCGGATAAGCTTTGATCAACATTACTTCTTTTTCAATCATATATAAATAAATTTCCGACCAAGCTGTAAAATTGACAGGAAAAATGGGAAATTGTAAGTAATATAATAGTGAAAGAAAGGCGTATTATTATGGGATTAATGAGTAAACAATAAACATAATCGTATATATGGTCACCGACGTGTTTGACCCATACTATGAAATCATTTGATCCTTTCAATCATTGTTATTGCTGTGCCGCTTGAATACAATTTGTCAATTGCAGGGAATGCTTCTCAATTCAGAATCATCATCAAATTCAACTGAAGGTTCGATTTTTTGACACGTTCACACTGTTTTTCTATGTAAAAATAGTAAAATTTCAACAAGTGGTTGAAGTTTTGGATTTTGGAATGAGACCAGATGAAATAATGACCACGAAAGATTTCAAAGCAAAGCTCGAGCAGTCGAGCTCGGCTGGTCTCGTTTACACCTCTACATGTCAACCTTTTGATTATACAGTACAACAGAAACTAAATAATGCACTGGTTTTTAAATAACACATAAAATAATGCTTGAATGTGTTGCAGCAAATTAAGCAGAAGACAAATGCAGAAAAAGCAAGTCTTTGAAAAGTTGTAACAACTCTTCATATATTATTTGTACCCNAAAAAAAAAAAACTCTTCATATATTATAGCATTCATCTTTACAAGGTACAAATGTTGGTTACCAAATTCTTCCAATTTTTCTCGGTCGCATGTGAAAGGAATTAGGATGAACAAATAAACTCGCTCACGTGATAATTACATGGTCGATTTAGCCGAGTAGGTTTTAGCAAACGTTGCAAACCGTTCCAATCCACGAGCGAGCAAGCTTTCAAGAAAAGGCTGCAGAGCCTAAAAAAGTGCAGAATATGGTGAAATTAGAGTGAGCAGATGATAGATTAAACATTTGTCTTGACAAACTATATATTATTCACTGAGAAAACAATTTTATTTTTTTTTTTTTAAAAAAAAAGAAAAAAACTATGTGCTGTGGTTTTGCAGAAATAATGAGAGTACTTACAGATGCCACCGGAACCAGCAGCTGAGGAACTTCATATGAAACAGTGAGCTGAAAAAACAAGGAAATCAAATGTGAGGGCCTATACAGATTTTCAAACTGCTTAAATTGTTCACAATATATCAACATGCTCGCAATTTATTCAATTAATAATAAGCAAAATTTTAGGTGCTGAATCATGCTAGTTTTCCACAATTCTTACATTTAACTGGGTTATGATCAAAATTTTAGTTGCTCATTGGTCGATGATTTCAAAATAAAGATGCACCGTGCAGATGCAACCAAGACGAAATGAACTCATACGAAAAATAACAGAAACAAACTGAGAAAGCTAAAGTGGATAGTTTTTGAAGCCATACTTCTACTGTACAAGCAGAACCACCTTTAGGGAAAAACCTTACAGCTCCCCTGCAATAAAATTTGCAAAATTAAATTCCATACACAAGATAAAACCCATCGTGAAAAATTTCTGCCACCTATTAGGAAGACCCTCCATAGATCTCCAGTGGATTTTCTGGTTCTTTATAGGCTGCAAAGAAAAACGAGAAAACCGTCAATTCTGTAAATCAACGTGATAGGATAGGATATCGAAATCTATTGGGACCAATCCCAATTTTTCTTTAAAATCTACCTGCATATTTCGAGCAAGCCACGAGAATTCAATATCACGGCCAAATGCTTCATACTTCAGTGACCAACGTGATAGATCAGGCCTATCTTCCAGAATCTAGAAAAAACACAGAACTAGCATCAGAATTTCAGAATTGGAGAATTCAAGAAATGTTAGAAGTAATTACATAACAAATAGGGAAGCTTTCTAACAGCATAAGCTACATAAATGCTTCTAATTTGTCAATGAAAATCTCAGTGTAGATAACCGAACCCCTAACCAGAATCACAAATTGTTGTATGAGGTGGACTGACCGATAAATGGGTCGACCAGACATACTTTTTTTTTTTTTTAACAAAAGTATGTTCGTATGCAATGAGATGTCCTACTTTTGTCTTAACTGAAACACATTGTCCTTTCATACTTGCTCGAATTTGCAACCGCAGATATGATTACATAACAAAATTTACAGGAATAAAATTGCTTATGCAAATCAATATATGGAGATTAAAACATTGAACTGGTTACCTTAACAGATGAAATGAACGGCATCCACTGAGGAATAGCCTCACGATCGGAGTAACAATTATAAGCAACTGAAACTGGCACATCCACCTCCTTTCTCACCCTGCAATAGGCAATCGGATATTCGGATCCCAATTCTAAAATAAAAATGTGATCTTTATTACTCATAAACTCAATTTAAGCTGTAAAAGGGAAAAAGGGGAACAATCTTGCACATTTTAAGGGGGAAAAAGTTGAGAAAATTACGTGCAATCTTGCCATTGCATGACAGGCGAAATGGGTAGCCGGAATTTGATGCCGGAGAGGTGATGGTGATGACAGATTTTCTTTAGGTGCGCTTTATACCGGCTGAAGCGCGAGGCCCTTTTGGTAGTTAATAGATGGGAGGCGAAAGATGGAAACCTGGGTTTCTCTGAGCTCAGTGTTGTGCTATTAACGAGTGTAACCACGGCGGTGGTCGTCAGAGACATTTGGGAGAAGAGAGAGAATTAGAGAGAGAAAAAAACGGCGACCGATGAGATGTTTTCAGGAGATTTTCAGAGAGCCACATCATTTCTCACCGTCGTGATTTTAGCATTAACAGTGCTCGTTCGGTCGGGTGGCTCCGGTTGGGCAATTTTTCGTCAATTCATTTTAATACTATTACGGTATCCGTGTTGATGCACGAGAGCATTTATTACCTATTTATTTTTTAAAAAATATTGTTGTATTTAAATTATCTCATGCCATTATTCATAAAAATGATATTTATATGTTATTCAGCACTTCCTTATGTACAACATTATTGATTTGATTCTTTAGCATGTAAAGTACTACATAGGTGCTCGAATTTATCCAAAATTTCATATTAAAGTTATTTGTTAACAAATTTAAAAAAAAAAATAAAGGATCTTATTTATTAAACAAAATTAAAATAGACAAAAAAGTAGAATTTTTTAGGGATTTTCACCTATTATTTATTCTAAATCTAATTCTAAATTTCAATTAAAAAAAAATTGAAAAGAATTATTAATTACTCCTGAAAATAAAACTGATTTTCCTACCAATAAACCGATTTTTTTTTTATCAAATCCAAATTATTTTTTTAAACCAAATAAAAAATCATCATTTTTTCCTAAAAATGCAACCGAATTTTTCTAACATTGCACCGATTTTTATACCAAACAAATTGAATTGAAAATAATTCTAATAAAAAATTGAAATAAATTGTTAACGTTTATGCAACTGTCTCTTTCCTAAAGAAAATGATATGAACTTAACAAAAAAAAATGATATGAATTTATCAAAATCTCGGTAAAACATGGTCAAGAAAAAAACATAAGAATCCAAAAAAATCGATGCATTTAAATTTTGAAAAGTTGCACACAGTTTTTTCTATATAATTGGATAAGGTGACTTTAAATATCAATGATAAACCGTTTTTGTTACCAAAAAATGTGGACACAATTTTGAATGTACATCCAGTCTAAATATCAGTTTTATTTTAAAATAAAAATTGCACGTGGCTTTATCCAATTTACACATTTTTTTTGAAAGAAAAAATTATTTAATAAGATTGGAAGAATTGGTTAAGAATTATACAACTATTTGCTTCCTTAAATTATACCCAATTTGCATGGTTTTTAAATTAATTTGTATTTAGAATTATTTTCATAAATAATTGACACATTTTTTGCATAATAATCTCCAAATTAGTTACCATAAAATATATGATTTAAATTTTGGTAAAAAATAGGATTCAAATTTTGCCATAAGATTCTCCAAATCTGTTACAAAAAAAATAGGATTTAGATTTTGTTACTAAAGATTGACATGTGTTTTTTGAACTTTCCATTAATAGTAAGTCAAACATTATATTTATTTGGTCAAACTTTCTATTAATGTATTTTTTCGACAATCTTTTTATATATATATATATAGATTTTTTTTATTACCTTATGTTTTGTTTAATTTTTCAACTCATTTAAAAATAAAAACCAAAGCTAAATAATTTCATTTAATATATATTTTTTTTCTAATTATCTTTTGGTAACTTCTATTTTAACATTTGTTCTGTCAAAAATCGATTATTCTAGTGAGAGNTTAACGTGGGTAGCAAACCCCTTTAATCCTTTAATATCATGCTCGAGTTAGACCCCCAATCCAGGCAGACGTGTAGGGATGATCTCAAGCCCGATCGAGGAAGACGTAGCCAAACTGGCTATGTAATCAGCTGCAAAATTGCTTTCTCTATGCACATGACGGGTCTCAATGTTCCTTTCCTTTTGAATCACATAGAGTATGACCTTCACTAGCGCCTCGTGTGCCCCAAAGTTTTTCTTAGGACCATGTTCACCACGCATTGATTATCACTATAACTTGGCGGTACCCTTTGTCTCATGCGAGTTGCAACCCTTGAAAACTCCTCACAATTCGGCACCCATAATAGTGCAGTACCCAATGTTCATGAGAAAGCCCGCAATCCAACCACCTAAAATATTTCGGATAAGTCCTACACTGCTCAAACCGGTGGATTTATCGAAGGCCCCATCGGTATTGATTTTTATCTATCCCGAATCCGGTGGAGACCAATGAATAAGCCGTGAAATAGACTGTTTCATGTCAACCAATGTTGCAGCGTACGCCGTTGCTGTGAGGTGGTAATTTTCCATATGGCTCACCACCTCTAAGCGATGGGCCTCGCAACTCATTGTTCTTTCACTGAAAATTCGAACGTTCTTTATTAACAGTTACACGGTCGACACGTTATATTTTCCAATAAAACGAAGAGGCATTTCTACAAGTGAAAAAATTATTTTTATATGAGTTTTTGTACTTTCTTCTTTGAATAAAAAGAAGATAATGCTTCTTAAAGTATAACACACTCTTTCCAAGTTTCGTTTTAAAGTAATCTGGTTGTAGGCTCCTCTCGGAATGTCCTCTCACTAGATTTGGCTTTTGGCCGAGTTCTAGATGTAATTATGTCTTCTAATATAATATTTCTATCGTTCAAAAAAAAAAATGAAAAACTTAATAGCAAGCAATCACATGATATGCATCCGCCATTGCAAATTCAAAATAAAGACAGTTTATTTGTTGAGACTTGAAGATTGATATATCTTGCACGGGGGCAAATTGTTTGTATTTTTATTACACTTCAAGATCCTCAATGCCCTCAACAACGAAGGTCCCTTAACCCGGGGACAAAGATCCATATCCTCTATCCTCTGAACTCATGGGCGTCTAGGTTTTTCTACACAGTTGGAAAGAAGCACTAGCCACAGAATGGAGAAGACACAGATATTTGGTAATGTGGATGTGAAGTAGAAGAAATGTCATCATTGGTCTGGTGAAATTGATTGAAAAAAACATAAAGGCAAGATTCTGTCTATAACTCACTAACTTGTTTTGCCGAAAACGGGCAGCCAGCTGGATCAAGTACCCGTATTCTTAACAAGCTTGACCCAGAATGCGGATAACAAGTTGTTATGCTTCTGTTCGGGGGACTAATGGCAAAATCGGTCTACAAATACATGTTAGCGCAAATGATTCTGTAACCTTTCATATTTTAAGAGCATACAGAAAAACTCACGCAGCATCAGCAATTATCAGCAAATTAATTGTCAACTAAGAAAGTCACCCGCGTGCAGGAAAGAGATGAAAAGATGAGTGGTTTGGGGTTTGGCAAAAAGAGCTGCACTTGAGTTAGGAGCTATACCATTTATTTTGATGACTTTATCCCTCTAATTGTGATACTCCTTGAAAGGTGAAGGACATTTTCCAAATAAGACCACGTACGTAACGTCCCAAGAAACATAGTACTATTTGTTATAGGACCTTTTTACAAATAATATAATATTGTTAGTTAAAAAAGAGTAATAGATTCTCCACTAATTTTCCTGACAGGTCAATATCTCGAGTTGTGAATTAATCACCCTAGCCTAGCCTAGCTATTACTAGTACTAGTATAACTAAATATAATTTGCTGCTGCTGCTGCATCTTCAATTAATTAATATATAATAACCAATAATCAAAACAGCAGGCAGCAGATCCAATCCAAGTCTCTATTAATATTTTGTCAATTAAATAAATTCCCTTGATTGTTTTTCATTCTCAAATTTATATATATATCCCCTGCACTGCACACAAACAAAGAAAGAAAGAAACATATATATGCAGAGGTCCTTGAATATGAGTTTGGAGGGCAAAGTCGCCCTGATCACGGGCGCCGCGAGCGGCATCGGAGCGGCAGCCGCCCGACTCTTCGCGGAGCACGGCGCCTCGGTTGTGGTTGCCGACATACAGGATGATCTCGGGCGCCAGGTGGCATCCTCCATCCGCGGGAGCTACAAGCATTGCGACGTTCGGGACGAAGGGCAGGTGGCGTCCGCGGTGTCCCACGCACTCTCCGCCCACGGCGGCCTCCACGTCCTACTCAGCAACGCCGGCGTGATGGGCCCCCTCGGGAGCATCCTCGACCTCGACGTGGCGGGCCTCGACGAGGCCATGTCCACCAACGTGCGCGGGGTGGCCGCCACCATCAAGCACGCCGCGCGCGCCATGGTGGCCAGCGGGACCCGCGGCTCCATCATCTGCACCGCCAGCGTGGCCGGATGCGTGGGCGGGGCGGGCCCCCACGCGTACTCCGCGTCCAAGCACGCCCTCGTGGGGCTCGTCAGGAACGCGTGCAGCGAGCTCGGGGCGCACGGGATACGGGTCAATTGCGTCTCCCCGTTCGGGGTGCCCACGCCGCTCGCGTGTCGGGCGTACGGCCTCCACCCGGAGCAGCTCCAGGCCAACACCTGTGCCGCGGCTAATCTCAAGGGGGTTGTGCTCACGCCACAACATGTTGCCCAGGCCGCGCTCTTCCTAGCGTCCGACCACTCCGCCTACGTCAGTGGACACAATCTCGCCGTTGACGGCGGATTCACGGTCGTTACCCACGCTCGTTACTCTTCCCAATCCGATCCTTCTCATAAATCTTCATAAACTACTCAACATCATTTCCATTTCATAAAGTACTCAACATCATTTCCATTTCATTTCATGGCCGTTTGTTTGTTGTTATTATTATTATTATATTTGTTTGTTTTAATTAAGACATGTATTGTATTGTATGGTGGTGACGTGATGTATGGTGGAGTCAATCGCTGCATCTGCCATTCCTTGTTTTACGCATCCCATACAACTATTTTACTCCAAACTTTATATTCTGGTCAACGTCTCGAGCCAACACTCAAAGGTTTCATCATGTTGTATATGTATTTCTTTTTGGTTCCCAACATTTTCCTGATAAACACATAAACATATCTCAACTCAAATTAAGTTTTCCTGGTTAGTTAGGGTTAATTTTGAAAAATTTGTTATGGTTAGATATTAGTGAGATTTTGATTTTATATTAAAATAATATTTAAAATAAATTAATTAAAGTTGATTTGAGAATTAATGGTTAGTCCGAATTATGCGAATAGATGAATAGTGAATTAAAAATACATCAGAAAGTTCCCGATATGGGATATTTTTTCTCTCTCTAGAGACTCGAATTCCCGATTTGGGATCTCAGGGTTCTTAGTCTCCTCTTTCTCTTCATAATCCTTCCGATTCTTCTTCTTTTTTTTCTTTTTCATCTGCTATATTCACTTTCTGCTCCTCCTTTTGTTATTGACTTCGCAGATAGTCTAAATCCTAAAGGGCTTGCCCATCTTATCTTATTATAGCTAGGGATTTATATTTTCCATTTCTTATCTCTCTATCTCTGCTCTCACGCTCTTCTCTCTAATAGTGGCTTATCTTTGTGTTCTTTTACCTTTTTCTAGGTGTTGCTTTGGTACGCTTTTGTCTTTGTTCGGCAGGGTTAGGGTTTGAAAACTGTTGGTCGACAGTCCTTCGCTAAGATGGCAAACAACTTAGCAAATCAAATGCGCAATTTTAAGCTATCAAACCGAGAAGAAGGTGGGGTTTCAATTACGGATGGCGATATTAGTTTGGGAACCCAGGAATGCACCCTGAGTCTCTTTGGTCGAATATTTGGTGAAAAGAAAATAAACTTCAATGGAATGCGGCACACCTTACAGCAAGTCTGGCAAACCCGTCAACAAGTCACTATGAGGTCTCTGGGTCATAATCGATTCCAATTCATCTTTCAATCAGAAGAGGACAAACAAAAGGTGTTCACAGGCAAAACATGGTCTTTCGATGGGCAATATCTGATACTCAAAGAATGGAACCCATCAACTGATAGTGACAAGGAAGGAGAGGATATTATCAAACTATGGGTTCAAGTTTGGGATTTGCCAATTCATTGGGTCTCAGCGGAAACTGGGCTGAAGATAGGCAAGCTTTTCAACAACGTCCTGAATGTGGTGGTACCGGACATGGGAAACAATGGTGGAAGGTTCGTCAAGATTCTGGTGGAAGTAAACCTGAAGGAACCCATTCTCAGAGGCACAAACATCCGGCTTGGAGAAGAGTCAAGATGGGTAAATTTTAAATACGAAAATCTCCTAAACTTTTGCTATTATTGCGGCCGAATAGGGCATGCGGACCGAAATTGTGCCATTAAAAAAGAGGATGTTAAAAAGAATTGTCTTAGCACTGGACAATTTGGAGAATGGTTAAGAGCCTCTGTTTTTAGTTATGTGGGGGGTAGAAATAGTAGTATCAGTGAGAGAGAGGATATAGACAGGGGTACTGAAGAGCAGATGGGTCATAACTTCCCTCTCGAGCCTCTTGTCGAGGATCAGGAGAGAAACCCTCACCAAATTAGGGTGTCAGGTTTAGAGTCCTTAAGCAAAAATAAGGGCAAGCAGCCCTTGGTAAATGAGGGCAAGTCCCCTGATCAAGGGAAAAGAGTGAGTGAGGGGTCTGTGGATGTTACTAGAGTGGTGGGGGAAAATATAGAATCTGAAAATGTTCAGCCTACTGATCTCATGTGTTTAGATAACTTAATGCAGGTCCCTGTTCATCTAGCCACTAAGAGAATCATTGATGAGTTAAATCAGTCAGGGGATAAGAAGGAATTCTTTTTGAAAAAGCCTACCTTAATAGATAAAAGGAAAATTCCTGAATGTGGAGATAACTCTAATAGTTTAAAATCAAATGTTGTCCTTAATGATAATAAAAAGAGAACTTTAGAAGCAGATCGTGATCTTTTGTACTCTGAGAATGTAAAATCCAAAAGGCAAAAAAATGATATGTGTGAGGATAACACCAATCTGATGAATCAAATGGTGGAGGAAACCAGCCAAAAATGGTCCCAAGTTTCCAAATGAAAGTTTCGGTGTGGAATTGTAGAGGTTTGGGAGGGCCCTCTACAATTTCCCAAATCAAAGAGATTCTTAGAACTCACCTCCCACATTTTGTTTTTCTTTCTGAAACAAAAAAGAAAAATAACTTTCTTAGAACTGTTTGTAAAAAACTGAAATTTGATGATAGGTGGTGTTCTGTTGAGCCTGTAGGTCTTAAAGGTGGTCTCTTATTATATTGGGATAGTACTATCACTATTGTTGATATAATATGCAATGACTTTTGTATTGAAGTATGTTTCCTTTACCCTGGTTGCACTACTAAATTTTGGGGGGTTTTTGTCTACTTGAGTACTGATAAAAATGTTAGGAAAAGCCAGTGGCACATTTTGCTTAGACATAGTCTTATGTGGGGGGATTGTTGGTTCTTAGGGGGTGATTTTAATGATTTATTATTCCATTCCGAAAAAAATGGGGGCAGAAGAAGAGAAGACTGTAGTTTCATAAGCTTTAGAAGCTTTGTTAGACTTATGGGCATGCAAGATGGGGGTTTTCAGGGTCATCCATATACTTGGGCTAACAATAGGCAGGGGGAGGGTTTTGTGGAAGAGAGATTGGATAGAATTTTCTTTTCTCCGGGGTGGCTCTTAACCTTCCCTATGTCCAGTGTTCTGCATATTCATTTAATATCCTCGGACCATTGTCTATTGCTGCTCCAAACAGATCCACACATGAAGAAGGAAAAGAAAAGATTCACCTATGATGCAAGGTGGCAGCAGAGAGAAGGGTACAAAGAAGTTGTGACTACAGTCTGGGCAAATAATGAGGAAGGCAGGGATTTGTTGGGAATTCAGAAGAGACTCAGAGATACCAGGATAGCTCTTTTAGAGTGGAACTCAAAGCAAAAATCCAACTCAGCTCAGCAAATTGAAACCTGCAAATCCAAACTACAAACTATGGTACTTTTGGGAAAGGACAGACATTGGGGTGACTGGGAAAGGTGTAAATCACAACTGCACAAAGCCTATTTGGAGGAGGAGAGGTACTGGCAGAGCAAATCAAGAGTCATGTGGTTGAAAGCAGGAGATAAAAACACAAAGTATTTCCATACCTGTGTAAATCAAAGAAGAAAATCAAACAACTTTGGCCTCCTCACAAGAGCAGATGGATCACAGTGCAAAAATGAGGAGGAAAACCTGCAGGAGCTTCTGGACTTCTATAGAGACATCTTCACCTCTCAGAGACCAAACATTAATAGTTGCAGTCTTGAAGGCATCAACAAAGTGATTGGAGACCAACAGAACCAAACCCTAACCCAAGCTGTCAAGGATGAAGAAATCAAAGCAGCACTAATGGAAATGCACCCTCAAAAGGCTCCAGGTTCAGATGGCTTCACACCCTCATTTTTTCAAACTCATTGGGATATTTTGCATGATATTGTGGGGATAGCTGTTAGGAAATTCTTTTCCAATTGTTTCATGCCAAACCAATTAAATCACACAATCATTTCTCTTATTCCAAAAATTAAAAACCCCCAAAAAGTCTCAGACCTTCGGCCCATAAGCCTTTGCAATGTCATCTACAGATTGATATCAAAAATTTTGGCAAATAGACTCAAATCTGTCCTCCACCTATGCATTGCTCAGAACCAGGCAGCCTTTGTGCCCGGGAGACAAATCATTGATAATGTGGTGATAGCAAATGAATATGTGCATTATCTTAATAGAAAAAGAACAGGCAGAGAAGGTCTGATGGCCATAAAGCTTGATATGGCAAAGGCTTTTGACCGAGTGGAATGGGCTTTTCTTATTTTGATCCTTAGGAAAATGGGTTTCTGTCATTCTTTCATTAATTGGATTTTTGCTTGCATTAGTTCATCTTCTTTCTCTTTTAAAATCAATGGGCAGCCTAAAGGTTTTCTTAAGCCAACTAGGGGACTAAGGCAGGGGGATCCTTTGTCCCCCTACCTATTCATCATCATCTCTGAGGCACTGTCAAATCTGATTAATCAATCTGTTGTCCATCATCATTTTCAGGGTTTTAAAATTGGTAAACATTCCCCAGTGATTACTCATTTGTTTTTTGCTGACGATTCTCTTATCTTTTGCAAAGCAACTGCTCAGAATGCCTTTTCCCTTTTGCATATGCTTTCTAATTATGGTAAAGCTTCTGGTCAGATGGTAAATATCCATAAATCTTCTATCATGTTTTCCACCAATACCTCTGAGGAGACTAGGGCTCATATTTCCCAAATCTTCCAAGGAATTCAGGTGGTCAGATATTCTAAGTATCTAGGATTACCTTTAGGAATAGGTCGATCTAAAAGAGCTACTTTTCAATATGTTGTGGATGGTGTTATAGCTAGGATTTCAAATTGGAAAAATTGTTTTTTGAGTGAAGCAGGAAAACTAACCCTCATTAATGCAGTGCTAAATGCCTTACCTTTATATGTGATGTCTTGTTTTAAGTTACCTCAGAGTGTCTGTAAGGATGTGGGTAGGAGCATAGCAGACTTTTGGTGGGGAAAAACTGGGGAGGGTAGGAATAGAATTCATTGGGGCAGCTGGGATAAAATTGCAAAACCAAAGGAAAAGGGGGGGTTGGGTATCAGAAATTTAGAAGCTTTCAATAGTGCCCTTATTGGAAAACAAATTTGGAGAATCCTTACATGTCCAAATCTTTTGATGAGTAGGGTGCTAAAGGGGAAATATTTCTACCAAAAAAGCCTGTGGGATATCAAATCTA